CAGAGATTTCTGTACCATATTGTGTTTTGTGGTGTGGTTGTCCCTGCAGTCCCCTCCCAAGATTAAATCCTGACTACTTTAGTTCTGCACATGAAGCCCCTCGTAAGGAGTGGAAACAATTCTGGAGACTTCAAAATGCTTTGGAGAAGATGGTCAGTGCTGAGCGTGACACTTAGCCAGAAGAGATAAATCAGGGGTCAAGTAATAGAAAATGTCATGCATTTCCCTCCCCATGTTTTTCTTTTCTCTGAGAAAGAGAAGCCCCCAAATTCTAAAACTAAACCAAAACAAGAAAAAAACTCCTAAACGTTCCATTTCTTTCATAGAAAGAAAAGAGATGAGGCCAAATTCACCCCTCACAGGTAACTCCACTGTCTTTAACGAGGTTGGATGTGGAACTGATGGGGCCCGTCAAACCCATCTGTTCAGCTAAAGGAAAGGTTGGATAGCAGCATGTAAGAGGATGGAATTATGTTCTTTTTTTATTTTTATTTTTTACATCTGTGTTACTTGGTTGGATATCTTCTCCCTTTTCCCTGGTACTGCTAGACACATCCCTGATACAAACCATCTGCCTGAGGACAAACCTCATCAGAGGTGAAGACTGAAGGGAAGGGCACCATGGATCATGGAGGTTGAGTTGGCCAGCTCCCATTTGTGGGAAATGAACGATCTTTTCCTTTTGACTATAGACTGGTGTATTACCCAGCTCAACCGAGGTGGAGGGGAAGTTTTGACAGAAAACCATTTCCAGGCAAGGGCACAATTCAACTGTCTACACATAGGCATCTCGTGTCATTTTGGACGCCGTACAGTCTCTGACATACCTGCCCAGGTTTAAGACTTGTGGGAGTCCTATGTCATTGAAGCAACAGCTGGATCCCAATAGGATATTGTAGGGCACCTAAAATGTCACCAGATGCTTATATTAGAATCATAGAATCATAGAATCATAGAATCATAGAATCATAGAATCATTGAGGTTGGAAAAGACCTCTAAGATCATCGAGTCCAACCGTCGACCCAACACCACCACCCACTAAACCATGTCCCTAAGTGCCTCATATTATTCCCCTCCGTAAGGAAAACCCTACCATTTTCACAGAATGGGAGAACCTGAGGCAGAAGAATGCTCTGGGTTGTATTTAGACCATCTCCTAAATGAGGCCCAACGTAGGCATGATGATGTACAGGGAGGGATGGCACCTCACTCATCATTGACTCAATCTTTCATACCAGTACAGTGGCAACCCTGACTTGAGACATCTAGTGTAGGCAGTGGAGTGGGATCTTAGTTTTCCAAAGACACTTCCTGAATTCATGTGTATTGGGGAGCGATGGCCCGAGTCCCTTCTCAAAAGCCATGGGGCCAGATGCAGGCCTAGCATGTGCACTCAGCATGCTCCCAGAGCCCTAGCAGGCTCTCTCTCTTCCTGTCTCACGGGTGGGCAGAGTCAGACCCAGGACTAGGACCCTCAGATGCACTTGGGGTGATTAACAGAATTCACGCAGGCATTTTTCATTGACTTTAGTAGCAGCTGCTCAACCCCTTACATTATATCAACACGGTGGATGACTAATTACATAATAAAACCGAACAAATATGCATAGGCTTTGTTAAAAATCCCTTGAATGGGGTGGAAGTCCCCAACCACTGAGCGGTTTCAAGCCTGACCCCAGCTTTGAATGAAGGAGTACAACTTCCAGCCCATCTCAGCTGATGATCAGATTGTAGCTTCACCTCCTTGACTCATGGTGGACTTCACATCATCAGACTGTACCCATCTAAGAGCTCATCATCTAGTATGAGCTCATCAGCTAAAGTCAGAGGAAAAAACAGAGGTACGCCCAGAGGGCAATTTACCAAACATAGCTTAGATACCACCCTAGGCTATAATGAATCACCTTCTGGATTTGTTTGTTTCTTGCCATTGATCCAATTAGAAAACTAGATAGCTTAGACTAGATGACATGGCCAGATGAAATAAATTCCACTGCTGCAGTCAAAATCTGTTTGTTCACCTTAAGAGGCAATTGCTCAGCAAATGCTTAGTTTGGTTTTTTTTTTTCCCCCCATGCTTCCCAAAGAGCTTCACCTGCTAGCGATGTTGGGCTTGGTTCGGGTGCAAAAGCAGAAACAGTGGATGTTAGCATGCTGTGGATGGGCTGGGGTCAGAGTCCAGCTCCCGTGCACGGAAGCCAAATCCTTCCACCCATTTCTTCACTGGTATGGTATAAAAGAAGGAGTTTGAAACCACCTTGCTTAAAAATATTAGGGTAAAATTAGTTGTGGGTGTGACCCTGCTGAAGTCAATGGATTGACAGGGACCGTGACTTGCAATGATTTGCATCTTCTCTGTTGGGGCACCATTCACTGACAGAAGTACCTGGTGGGACGTGTCTAACATCTTTCGTTGTGACTGCTAGCACTGCATCATATTGAGTAAATCAGACGTATCTTTCCTTGTCCCATCTTTTCCAATTCATCAATGCCTTCCACCGCATATGTGGTTTTCTTCAGCGTTTGCTTTTTTGGCAGCTTGTGTTTGAATATTGGTTATTGTGGCAGTTTCCCCATGCAGCGGCTTCCTTCTCTATTTGCCATAATGATCAGATTTTCCTTTTCTCCCAGACTGTATTACAAAGATCAGTCACACATCCATTAATTGGTCCATCTTTCTCTCAGTTTTTAGTGACCTATTGCTTTCTACCAGTTGGTGTGTGGCCATCCGTTAGGTGCAATGTTTGCATGTAGAGATATGATTGATTGGTTTTCTCCCCATTTTTTTCTCTGCCTCTCTTGATCTCTTCCTCTCTCCTTCCCTCCCTTCTGTGTCTCTGCTCTCATTTCATTGCAGCTTTTTTTGCAGAGCATTGATAGAAGCGCCTCCATCAATAGGCAAAGCTTGCTTGTGCCCTTGGGCACAGCCCTGAGACAAACGGGTGATGCATAAACTGCACCAGCCTACGAACAGTCCCAGGAGACGCCGTGACTCAGAGTCAACCCTCGGAGGCATCATTTCCTCCTCTTTTCTCTCTGATGGGATTAAGCTCTGTTCCCTGCCTCTTCTGCATACTCCCTCCTTTGGTTCCCGGGAATAAGATGACATGCAGAGGGAGAAGAGCACTCTGATTTCTCTATGTAGATGTCCAGGTGTGAACTAGCCAACAGCCATGATTACGCTGCCATGAAAAGACTCTTGTGGGTCACTGGGAGTTAGATCATGCCCCATTTCCCTTCCTGGACTGAAGAGAAAGAAAAAATGCCAATCCATTGTTCTTTTCCTAAGATAGGAACCCAAAAGTATGGGCAAGGCAAAGAGGACACAGGACAAGTGCATCTGAGGCCAAACAGGCTACAACTCCATACTTGATTACCACTCATTTACGCCAGTATCAACCAGGAATAACTCAAGCAGAGTTACAGTGCTGTAAATACCAAGGCGACGGGCTGAGATTCACGCCTGATACCCACGTGGCTGAAGGAAGCCCTGATGCCCACGGTGGAGGTGAGAGTTGTTTCTGTAAGCTGGCAATCCCGATCTGAAATCAGCAGTAGAGCAGCATGCAAAGACGGGGAGTCAGAGGTGAACGGCAGAGGTGGGGCAGCGCTGCAAAGTTGGGATTTGGCTCTGTGTCCAAAATTGCCCAAAACTCTGGGCTGGTTCAGAGTCTGGGTTTTGTGCATTTTAATCTGTGCCACTTTTAGAGACGGGAATGGCTGTAGAAATTAGGTGTGGAACAAAATTTGGCTCGAGTCTGAAACTGTTCCAGCTTGTGTGGGGGGGTGGTGGTGGGTTGGTTCACCGTCACGTAAATTATTGGGTGACAAGCAGTCCTTCAGAGTCATGTTCTTGACAGACTTGTGGTCTAAGGGTTTTGCTAAGTGCCCAGGGGGAAGCCTGCATGAAGTGCAGAGAGCGGATGGACTAAGTGCACTTTCCACTGTTGGTGACGGCGTTCTTTAACGAGGTGGGAGGGGTAAACACTTTCCCTTTCCTCCTCTACGGGAACAAGCTGGGATGATGAGGAGCTGGATGTTCTATGCCCAGCAGCAAGTGTCCAGCCCCAGGAGACTCGCTCTGCACCGCGTGTTTCCGAGGAAGGCTCGTTGCCTGAGCCACATACTGGGCCACAGCTGGAGCAACATCTCCCTTCGTGAGATTGTCTCCTTCTCAATGCACGCACCGAGTCCTCTTCACTTCACATATCAGGCACTGAACTTTTCCATACCGTGCACATCACCTGTGTGCCAACAGGGCATTTGCAGGAAACCATCAGCAGTTCTCTCTCTCCCTCTCCTACATCCCACTCAACACTCTACAGGTGTCACTGAATCCTATGTCAAAACTGGCAGAAGCTGCTATGCTAAAAAGTTCACGCGAAGAGCCTGCCCACTCTACAGCTCTATTATATGTTTGTAGACTTCTCTTGTTCCAGGGCAAAAGCAAAGGAGTATTTGCATTATTTATTTTTTTTTTTAAATCATTAATTTATCTGCTTTTATTTCTTTTGCTGCTGTTGTTGTTGCTCATATTATACACAGAGTCTGGCCATTTGGGTATGTAGATAGATCTCAGAAAGCTTAGTGTGCTGCTGTCCACCACAGCCTCTGCCTGGCTGAGGGAAAAGGAGATACTTAGGAAGATGCAAGTCTTTCAAAGGACACTTAATCACACGAGTCACTTCAGGTGGGTGAGAGCAGAGCAAATCCATGCTTTTGCTGATGCTCTTCTTTCCAGCTCTGTGTTGTTGGCTGGTTGAAAAACCACTGTCTCCTACAGGAGGCATCATTGGGGCGTAACTTGTGTGACTGCCAGATGTACCTCAGGATAGCCCAGAAGTCATTAGACCTATTCTATCCAACCAGTTTTAGCCTTTTTTAAAGTTTTTATTCTTTTAATATCAAAAAAGTAGACTTCTCTCATGTCTGCAACCTCAGAGGAAGTAGGCTCGAATCCATTTCTCCACTCGGAGCCCAGCGAAGGGTTTTGCCTGCTTTATTTGCACGTGTGGACATCGTAGACTCGTATGCACTCCTGGCAGCGGACATAGCAGCACCAGTGGAAGATACAGTGACACTTCTCTTTCCGTTTCTCAGTCCTTGTGTTGTGCCCGCGGCCGCAGCACAAAAGGTCGCAACCATCAATCCCGTGGGAAGTAACATTACAGATCCTGTCACGGGTCCCAAAGGAACCTGTCTCAGGGTTGGGCTCGCAAAAGTTTGGTGAGTTCTCGTAGTAAACCAGGTCCTTCTCAGTCGGAGCCTTGAAGAAGTTGTATTTGGGCCTGAGGGTCTCGACCCAGCCACGGGATTCTCGATGTTTTTCCACCACCATTTCAGAAGCGCTATCGTACTTGTCCTTGAGGTAGTCACCGATGACCCTGAAGTCTGGCTGAGACCACCAGCAGGTCTTCACTTCGCAGCTGCCTGAGAGGCCGTGACATTTGCACTTAAGATGCATGAGTTCAATAATAGACTGAAAAAGAGGAGAGGAAAGGCAAAGAAGAAGGAAGACATTAGCCTGTAATCAAAACACATACTGCATTCTGCTATTTAGCCAGGATTTCCTAAGGAGTTGCAGTGTTTTCATAGATACATTTACACACTTTTGAACAAAAATCACCTTATCCTCCAGTCAATGCCCTGCACAGATGCTGGATCTGAGGCAGATAAAACCTCTGCAACTTTATTGTTTTCAGTGACTATCTCTGATTCCCACCCCAACTTTAAGCATCTACCAAGTGCTTTCACCAAGGGCTGAAGTGATTTCTGTGCATACCAACTTCTATCTTATCAATGTTCACGGCTGAGTATTGCAGTCCTGTCACCCAGGAACACAATTCAGACACATCGAGGCAGAGAAGCAAAGAACACAGAAATCTTCTAGAACAGTGTTTTCGTAAATGAAATATACGGCTATTCCACTGCAAATTAAAGAAATGTGAAACGTCCTAACGATCTAGTCCAGAATTCCATCTTGTATGTATGTTTTCATTAAGCAAAGAAGATTCTAGCCTTGCTTGTGGCTATGTTCAGAAACCTGAAAAATAATGTATTTTTATTTTTAAGCCAGACTTACGATTTTTCTAAAATCATTTCAAAGAAAAAATCAGGAGTCCAACTTTTGATTTTGAAAGGCTTAGACTTCAACATAAAACACTGTCCCGGAATAAATGGAAAGGTGATTATTGATCCCAGAAATTTGCTATTCGCTTTTACCTCTTATGAAATTAGTCTAAAGGTTTCTAGAGGTGTTGCCCTCCAGTATTCTGAGGTGGGAGACAGCCTTATGCAACTTACTTGATAATCTGCATTTTCAGACTGATCAGCAAATTTCTGGGTACGTGAACAGACTAGTGCCAGCCTGAGTCCAAAAGATTTGCCATGAATCAGCACCTTGGTGTTCACCAGGTGCTTTCCTGTGTTATTTACGGAGCATCACCCGCCGCAAAGGAGGTTGTAATTAGCGATGAGAGAGAACCACAAAATGTTTGGTTCATATAATCATGCTGAACTTAATCAAAGCTTCTGGCGTAGTGGTAGGGTTTGAGTTCATATGGGAACTAATATGAAACGTTGCCTATGGCTCAGGTTTAGCTGGAGACACTTGAGTATGGAGACCTGGAAGAGCTACCCCATGAGTGCTGGCACGGTGAGAACGGAAAACACTAGTGCTTTGTAAAACAGTAGGATTTCAGATAATGGTGTGACATCTGCTCTCTAATCTTTGACATCTGTAAAATTTCCAAAAATAACTCAGTGTCAAGTAACAAGACTTGCAGTAAAAAGACCTCTGCAGGCCTGTGATCACAGGGGTGTTTGCTCAAAGCTCAGTTTTTCCAAGGATTCTCACTTTAAGGCAAAACCCTCCTTTCCACTCTACCCAGCTTCTCCACAGTCCTATTTGTCTCATTATCTATCCCAGCAACTGCCACCAGCAATGCACGATACCTTGGGGTACCTGGGGTAATTTGGGCCAGTGCTGGAGGAAACCATGTTATTGCTTCCAGTCATCTACATTGCAGATAATTTTTGTTTCTGGTGGTATTTCATTTTGAAAGGTTGTATTCCCTATTTCAGAGCAGCTCTCCTGCGGTGTGAGGTGGGATAACTCCACCAGGGTTTGATGTTGTCCACCTGAGGAGCTCACACCGAAGTCCTAGCCTGCCTGAGGACAGCTGTTTCCTAGCACAGCGCAACTGTGGTGGTTTTGCTATAGCTCACTGCACAGTCATATGTCCTCCTAGACATGTGTAAGGCCTTCTGCTGAGGGAACAAGACCACATGAATCTCTTCTGATCACAGTGAGATATCTTTCTTCCACTGAGGGATAAGCTATCTCAAGTTTACTACATGAGAAAAAATGCTGTTATCTCAGAGAAGCTGCGCCACAGTCGCCATTAGCAAGAGCTCTGTGGTTCAGTTTCACAAATTGTTTCCCATAGATTACGTTCTTCTGGCATTTATGGGCTATTCTTGAGATGAAAAAGAGAACATCCTCTTACAGGGATTGTTCCACCTTAAGGAAAAAATTCCCTGTGTACGAGGCAGTCACTGTGAGGAGGGCAAGATTTTGTGCTTTCTGTTCCCTTATACATTTTGCTCCATGACTGTTTGAAGTGAAAACACATTAGCTGGCTTTGGGGCATGGTCCAAGTTTAATCAGGAGGTACCAGAGTCGCATTCCCTCTTATTTTCTTTAAATATTCCCTGGGAAATAGAACAGCGTTGAGAAGAGGGGTGGTGGGAAATGCTCTCATGCTCTTCCCCACCCTCAAGCCTACAGAGCAGAGTGGTGATCCCAGGGGAATGGACAGTTGCACTCGAACTAGGATTCAGTTGCCTAAACACATGCATCTAATGCCATTTGTGAGCTCCAGGGGTGTCTAAGCCATCAGTCCCAAGATGGCAGAGGACCTGCAGGAGACACAGAGTCTTTCCCAGTAGCAGCCCAAGGACAGGCTGGATACTTCAGGATATCTCAGTTTATACTAAAATGCATTTGCTTAAGCAGCTGAATCCTCCCCATAAACCCTGGTCCCTCTCTCTCAACTTCAGATGTCTGCAGTACAGACATCTCTGGCTGTACAGCTCACCTTCTTCCTACAGCCAATGGAGGGGAACAGGCACAGTTAGGGCATCATTAACTGAGCTCTTTCAACTGTCTTCTTCAAGCTGGGATGAAATCCCATCCTAGACCTGTCTGTCTTGATCCATTCTCTATAAAAGAGGTCTGGACAACTGACTCCAAGGTAGACATTTAAATCTGGGTGGGTGAATTTACTTACAGCTTTCATAGATCAGGTACATTGATCACCTGCCTGACAAGAACTATCATAGGGCAGTTATCATCGTTTCATGATGTTAAACTGCCCAGATTTATGTTTGGTTATTCCCCTCAGTTCCCTCCCACTGTTCATTATGGCAGGTAAGACAAGATTAAAGGGAGATTGAGAAAGGTGAAACTAAATATCCTTACGGTCCTTCCAGCTTCGTTGTTGTGCCTGTTCATGGCTGACCGAGCATCTGGTCTGTTCTCTCGGGCATCCGCAAACTCCCGAGACACCATGCTCCCAAACTCCACGTCCTCGCTGCAGCCCCCCCATTTCCAGCCTTCCCCAGGAGAGCCCTTGTGGCGGGGGGGACAACCGCAGACGGGGGCCCAGCCCTCGAGCCCTCGGCGCAGGATCTGGTCACAGCGAAAGCCACTCCGGCAGAGGCAATGGCATGGACAAAGGCTGATTCCCTGGTAGCTGTGAAAGAGAGAAATCAATGAATAGTGGCCAGTGAAGGGACCAAGCATGGCTTTGATCAGCCCTGTGAACACGTTCTCTCGAGAGCATGGCACGAGGCCAGGAAACTCTCCTCTTCCCTGTGGTCCGGCTTGGACCTACTCCAAAGACATTTTCTTATACTAGGAAATAAGCTCCTGTGTAGACAGGACCAGGCTTGATTCAAGGCCACTGAGGTCAGACAAGAAGTTTTGACTAAGGTCATCCTAAGGTCTTAGGATGGCAAAACAAAAAGCAGTGTAAGCTTGAGTTTCAGGGGGCATATAGAATATACTATATGGTACTTTGCAGGCAGTGTACCACATAGCCATACCCTGAGCTGCAGTCTTGGCTTCAGATGCACAGAATTTGGGCTATGTTCCCATAACGTGGAAAATGCAGGTCTAGACTTAATGGCAGCCTCCACCCTTAGTGGTGGGACCAGCACCAGGTAAAGCACCTCCTCCTCCTCGATTGGGAGTGCTGCTGATGGCTGGAAGGTAGGAAAATGTCAGGACGGCCAGATACTCCCCAATCCTCACTGTAAAATAAACATTGTCCGCACCTTCCATCCTGAGGCCACCTTCTTCTTCCTAGGCTGTCTAGCTCACTTCGAGACAGTGTTCAATATATGGCATCTTTCCTCTAGCCAAAGTTCTGCTCACTTGCCTAATTAAGGCCCTTGCCAAGGGGACTGGAAATGAGCTTTCTTTTTCTGCCCATTGCCTCAGGATGGGGGGTGGGATCAGCCAAAAGATGTCATGGTTAGGGACTGAGGAGCCTTAGTCTCTGTGGAGACCTTCCTTCGTAGCCTGTCATCCTAGTTGGAGCTGGGTGGGGAAGGGCAGCTCAGCCCTTCAGCTCAACCCTCATCCAGCTCAGCCTGGCTTTCCTGGATGCCAGTGCTTTTTCTACACTGTGCCAAAATGAAAACCAAACATTTCAAACTGCTTTGCAAATGGGGGTATACCAAAATATCATTTTTTACACCCCCCCCCCCAAGTTTTGGTCTTGTTATGTTTCTTCACTCACTAGAAATGACCCTGGAGTTCAACACCAGACCTCAGAAAACACCACTGCAATGCTTTTTGGCTTCAGCAAAATGGCATTTTTAACATGGACACGGCTATTCTCAAACCCTTGAGGCAATTCTAAGACGCAACAATTCTGATAACTGGCCTCCCTTAACCTCCTATACCATTCCCTACACGAGCTCACCTCGTGCCTATAGACCAGTTAGCCAAGAAAGCATGTTGTCTCTGACACCTTTCGGGTGATTAGGCTAGGACAGTGTTGAAATATGAATGGATCCATAAAGGCAGAAGGTCAGGTTTTCAGTTGACGCAGCTTCACCAGCTTCTACTGAGCTTTGCATCAGCTGACGAGGTGCCTACTCAAAACCACTCAAACCTTCTCAGCACCATATTGTGCTGATCTGAGCTTTCCCTGGGCATTTTGGCTTACTCTTTACCTTCTAAACGCTTCCAGGCTTTACTAACGTGAAGAGAGTTTAATATGCCAAGCCAAAAAGCCAGCATGTTCTCGGGGAGAAATGAAAACTGCATGCTTGCAGAGCAGTCCCGGCTGGATTGAAGGCTTAAGCAAGAACTTGTGCAGCACTGCTTCGCTTTGGGAAGACTACCAAATACAACAATATGCAAATCAAATAATGTGCATGAACTTACAAGCCGAAGGTATGAGCAATGTCCTGGAACACGTTGTCAATACGCATCGTGAGGTTAGTAAGTCACTGAGGGCTAGAACCAAAAAAGGAAAATGCAGGAACCCTCAGTTCCACAATGTGATTTTGAAAAACCCTTGTTCAGCATCTGTCCAGCCTGAAGGATCCCAGCTTCCTGCAAATGGTGACCACGCAGTTCCTGAGTTGTGTGAAAGCTCAGCTTTTGAGCATGAACAGATGAGCCTAGCTCTAACAGGACTGGGGACTTGGCATCTTGCACTTGCCTAAGCCCAGGTGGGATCCAGAAACCAAATCTTGGGGGTGGGGAGCTTTGTATGATGTCTCCAAGGACACTGATGACCAGCCCTGGGGTCTGTGAAAGGCCAAGGCTTCTCGTAGAAGCCAGTCAGATAAGCTGGTGGGATGAATGCCATTACCCTCTGGTAGGGAGGTAGAGGGTATAGTGCCTGACCAGAGAATAGCTGACACACCTTCCGCCTCCTCCCATTGTGGCCTAACTAATCTTGAAAACTTTTGATATGCTGCTCTGCCATGGACAGGAGAGGAAGGTGATAATTCTTCTTCTTCTTCCCCCTTCTATCTGACAGCTGCAGTGGCTAAAGCAAGTTGCTTGGGTAGGTTAGCTCTCATCTCTTGGGAGTCACCCCTTCCTCTGCTCAGGAGGAGAGACCTGATCCAGGCCTTTGGCTATTTTGGAAGGTGCTGTAGGTGGTGAACTGATGTTTGCAAATGCCATGGAGACCCCCTGTGCCTTGCCATGCTAGGACTGAAAAGAATGCATCTGCAGCCGTGGTGTTTGTGCAGAAAGCCTTCTCCTGCGTGGGTATGAGAGGGGTGGCCTTGGCTTAGGAGTCCACAGGTTGTGGATCCCACCTGGGCTTCAGCAGGAGCCATTAGCTCAGAACAGAGGTGTTTGTGCATACAGGTGCAGAGCTCACCAAAACCCGGGGAGCTTCAGGCAACGCAGCCAGAGGGTCTGCAGAATTTCTGCATTTGCCAGGACTTGGTGGCAGCTGAACAAGGAGTTACAGGAGGACACCTTTGGTTGTAGATACCCAATCCTAAATCCCAGGTCTGTTACCTAAACTCTCCGCTGTTGCTGGCCCTTACTGAAAGTCTACAGCTCCAGGAGGGTATTGATAGGATTTGCCTTAAGAAGGACCGATTATACTCAGCTCTCCTCTTCCCAGAAGGAGCCCGATGCCTTTTACAGCCTGTATACGCCGTAATCACTCCCCTGCTTTTGAAATGCAGCCACCCCTGGGGTGGAGTGCAGCCACCACTTAACAGCACACAACAGGAAGCAAATAGCATTGTATTTGATCGTAACTACCTGGGGAATGTAGGCAGGCAGAGCAAAGAAGCTGAGATCTGGCCCCGGGCACTGAGGTTAGGATTTTGTCTCTTGAGAAAGTTGCAGCTGATCTCTTGACTCCACGAAATTAGGGCACTGGGTTTACATCTCCTACCCCTAACTTAAGGCACCGAGTTCAATATTGACGCAGATGGAAGAGTGCCATCGCGTGAATCACGTCCTGCCACCTCCTAAGTTACAGGACTGTCCTCCGATTACTAAGCAGACCTGACCCTGCTAAGCTCTGAAGAGCTCCCCAGGTTGTAGCCGGAGGTGGTGTGGCTGCAGGAATGGAGAAGGAGTGTATAGAGATACAGATAAGCAGAAGGAAAGCATGCACTTGTAATGGAAATGAGGGGTTATTAAGGTGCCATATAAAAATGCAAGAGACTTAGCAAAGATAACAGGAAAGTGCAGTATATTTGTCAGGTCGCCTCATTCCTCTCTGGGTGGTTCTGGTAGCAGGAGACAAGCAGCTCGTTCTGACTTGAAGAGAGCTTCTGGAAAGTCATCTGGCAAGAGGAGGTTAATAGGGACTAATACCTCATGGGGATGTTGACTTAAGAGCATTTTAACCACTTTGTTTTCAGTGCAGCACAAGGTCACCAAAGCTCTGGCTTCAGCTTGTTTAATTCCTGCCTGCTCCTTAGTTTCCCTGCAGGGCTTAAAGACTTGGATGGCTGGTGCTTCAAGGTACCCTGTTCTGGACCCTTTTGGGGGGGTTGGTTATCAGTGAAAAAGGTGCTGAGACTTACAGAGGGCCTTTAGGGATGCTTTGTAGCTGTCCCCTAATGCAGAGGTCTCCAAGTCACTGGTCGCTTCTGGAAATTGTTTCCTAAGGAGCCCGGTCTGTGAAGCTGAGAGCCTGAATGTCCTGTGCAGAACACCTCTGACCACCCTCTCTCTGCAGCAGAAACATCTTGGGATGCAAAAACACACAGCCCAGCAGTATCAACATGAGAATTCAGAGGCCTGAGGATGAGGTGACCTAAGATTTGATTTCCTGCTTTCACAGGGCTTTTTTATGTGACTTTGGGCAAATCCTTTAGTCAGTCTGTGCTTCTGCTTCCTTATCCGTACACCCGAGGACAATCCTGCTTATCTCCTCAGGAGCCTGCAATGCTAAATTCAGTGATGTCTTTAGGATCGTGGGCAGAAGGTGTTGGAGCTGAACAGAGGTCATCAAGTTGTGGGATGAGGAAGGCAAATGAATAACTGCATAAATATCTCAACTGTCTAATATATGAAACCTGCTCTCGTGTTCTTCTGCCCAGACGGTGACTTATTTTCCCTGAATTTTTCTCTGAGTGACTAAATGATTAACCCCAAGTCAGGTAGATATCCCAGATATGTAAGAGGAAGGACTATGGTGATGTAGAAGGATGAACATAATGGTTTATTTTGGTCTTAAAAAGCTACAGTCTCTTTACCACCTTTGTACCATAGTACTGAGCCTTGTCGTCCCCACTCTTAACACCCTAAATCTTTCCTTCCTCCCTGCGCAGTGGCCTGGTGGTAACAGCAAGTTCCTGGGATGCAGCAATGCAACCCACCTTCAGTTGGGAGCTGAAGTTGCAAGTCCTGTGTCCTGGACCAGAGCTCGAAGAACTAGGTGGTATTTTAGAAAGGGGGCACCACTGTTTCCACTGACTGTTCTTTAAAAGAAAGCAGAGATCTGTGCAGTCGGAAGGAAGGAAGGAAGGAAGGAAGGAAGGAAGGAATGCTTGAGGTGGTTCTGGGCTGTACTTCTTGCGAGGAAGGAAGACGTACAGCTGGAGAACAGATAGCCGAGCAGTAGAGATGGACCCTGCTCTAAGGGTTTTCCACTCAGCATGCCACTTTTCTAGATGGTCCTCCTGAAGGTGTGGAAGCTTCTTTGCAAAGGGAACCTTGATGTCTCAAGAACAGCTACTGCCTCTGCTCTGT